TGTGAGACGCGGTGTGGGTGAATGGATGATCTCTGCATACAGAGAGAAATACTCCTCAGTTTCATCAGCTGTCCGGGTGGCTGGTCTCAGATGATCCCGTAGGTGAAGAAGCCAGATGTGGAGGTCCTGGGCTGGCGTGGTTCCACATGGTCTGCGGTTCTGAGGCCGGTTGGATGTACTGCCAAATTCTCTAAAATGACGTTGGAGGCAGCTTTTGGTAGAGAAATGAACATTCAATTCTCTGTCAACAGCTTTGGTGGACATTCCTGCCTTCAGCATGCCAATTGCACACTCCCTTAAAACTTGAGACCTGTGGCATTGTGTTGTGTGACAAAACTGCACATTTTAAAGTGGCCTTGTATTATCCCAATGCTGTTTAATCAACTTCTTGATATGCCACACCTGTCAGGTTGATGGATTATCTTTGCAAAGGAGAAATGCTCACTAACAGGGATGTAAACAGCTTTGTGCACAACATTTTTGAGAAATATGAAATTTGTGTGAATGGAAAATTTCGGAGATCTTTTACTTCAGCTCATGAAACATGGGACCAACACTTTAGTTCTTGCGTTTTATATTTTTGTTCAGTATAACTGCAGCTTACATAGATGTGATTGAAATGAGATAATAATTGTTTGATTTACACTTTGATTCAAGCTTGAGCTTTTATTGAAAAATAGTTTATTAAAATTGAGTTGACATGTCTTCCTTTTAATAATAATTTGTAACTAGTAATTGGTTGTTTGTGTTTAATTCTTATCTTCAAGGGATATTTAATAATTGTGTAGTTCTACATACTGTGTGGGTTTATTATATTTCCTATTAAGTAAATAGATATCTTTAGGGTTGCCTTACATATTAGGTGTAGGCACTGCTCTACATTATTTATGGGTATGCCCATACATGTTTACACACATTAACCTTCACATGCTGACTACTTCCAGACCACCTAGTCTAATGGACCTATTATCTAGGTGTGTGAGAGTACTATTAGACTAGATGGTCTCTACGTAGTCAGACTGTCAGCCTGTGATTAGATAGCAAAAATAGCTAGCTCAACAGTCGTGTCTCTTCCCCTCAACTCTCTGGCCTTGGACTGTTGCCTAGCAACAGGTCCATTCCCCAAATATGTCCCACATGCAACACAGTAACTAAAACAGTCCCTGCTAGAAAAAGCTCAAAGTAACCATGGGGTTGAAAAAAAAACGTGTCTCACTATACTCCACTGTTAACCATATGGCCGTACTTGAAAATGATCCAACTTAATTTGACCTTGTGCGGATTCAGATTCCCTTTCTTTATATTTATGGCCTCCTTTATAGGAATAGGGCATGCCTTTCATTAAATAGCAGAAAATAAATCATTCAATCGACATTCATACCAGTTATAGATTATGGTGACATCGTCTATATCAATGTTTCCACACTCGAGTCCTAGAGTACCCCCAACAGCACACGTTTGTTATAGGAGTTGGGAAACTTAGCTTTAAAAATGCAAAAATCTCTCAGCCTCATTGCAAAATTGTTGAATAGCATGAGATTAGCTATGAAATGTAAAACATTTCTTGCTCCCCCTTTGCAATATGTGTAGAATTGCAGGAAATTACCTTTAAAACAGAAACATTTTCTCTCAGCTTCATGGCAAAATGAGTATAATAGCATGCAATTAGTGTGTGTGTGGGGTGGGGGGGGGGGGGCAATTGAACCCAACTCTGAACTAGCAGGATGCAGTCCCCATGGAAAATGTGAGCAAAGCTTCAGAGAGGGACTCTCTACCACAGTACGATTTCATGCAAACTGGTACTGACAAATCAGGAATTCAAGATAATACAAGAGTTATTTGTATTTGTATTTGTATTTATTAGGGATCCCCATTAGCTGCTGCCCTCTTCCTGGGGTCATTCAATACACTGTAGAAAATCCAACCCTGCCTGCGTTCCCCTTCCTATGTCAATCCCACCAATCAGATAACCCCTTTTATCAGTCCACAGATGGCGCTGAATGTTCATATTGGGCTGAAAAGCAGCAAGAATGACTGAGAGTCAACCACTGAGAGCAACAATAAAGAGGACACAATAGATAAGTAGAGTAGAGAGAGTAGAAACAACAGCAACAAAGGTTTATTTGTCATATTGAAATTATTCTTAAAAATGGTCACATATACAGCTCTTAGATATATCATAAATGCAACAAAAATGAGGCATTGGATTTTCACAATATCTCACAAAATACACACGCAGTTTAAACAGCTTTCTCTCTGTTACTCTTGTACCGCCACATAAGACTCCATCACTAGGTAACTGTATGACTGCCCCTTAAGAACAAGACACACATTGGCTAACAGTCGATGGTACTTAGCCTGGGTACCAGTCTGTTTTTGCCATCTTGACCTTGATGATTATGCGATTGTGATAACATAACTTCTTGTGTGGTTTTTGTGTGTAAAATGTGAAGATTATATCATGCTAACCGTCATTCAATCGTCAAACGTCAACATACATCAGTATTGCATCAACCATAATATGAAGCCTGTGAGCATTATTGTGATGCCACCGTCATTCACCTTTTGGGATAGTTTACATTCATTCATGATCCTTGAGTGAGAAGTAGCCTAGTCCCAGATCTGTTTGTGCTATCATGTCAACTCCTTGTCATCTTTGGCATGACAACGAGTGTCAAGATGGCAAAAACAGACTGGTACCCAGACTAAGTGAGAAGGTATTATAGTGTATTCCAGTTCTGCATTATTGAAATGTATGTATTCACATGTAATAACTAAAAACTTAGACTAGCAGGGCCTTTATGAGTTCAACATCTCCGTATTAATACAACATTACCTAACATTCATCAGACACTATCAGATTAACATGGATATTCAACGGATCCTCTCTTTTTAACAGTTTGAATAACAAGCAATGCAACATTACTCTTGGTCATAACCTATAGACAGACACTTTATTGATTGTTGAAAACACCATTATAAGAAAAAGCCACCTAAAACCTTGAACTGATATCTACGGCTAGATCACCCTGCAAGTTTCATCAATGTACAATACTTATGAGTAGGCCTATGATGTGAACAGCAGCAATTGTGGAGGTCAAATCTTTTCAACGTGACATTGATCCAACAATGGTTCTGTTGCGATTCTTGTTAGACACTGTATAGAAATAGTTGTTAAATATCTATAAACGTAATTCTCTGATATATTGTCTACATTAGTTGTGAATATAATATTAACTCCATGATTCAAAATTAAAACAATGGCCACTTTTACATAACTTACAGTATATATGGCTGGTAGCAGTAGGCCAGATATTTGTAATTTCTTCCTGGAAAATGTGCTCCTCCTTTCCAAAAGTGCACTTGCCAATATAGACAAACATTGAGTGTACAACACAGCATTTTGATTTTTTGATATTATTTTACTTAGTATTATTACAATTATTTATTTTTATTATTTTTTCACTTACTTCTTTTTGACCTGCATAAGAATTTCACTGTACCGTGCAAATACATCTGCAACCCTGTGCATGTGACTAATAAACTGTGGTCCTCTGTAGCTCAGCTGGTAGAGCACGGCGCTTGTAACGCCAAGGTAGTGGGTTCGATCCCCGGGACCACCCATACACAAAAATGTATGCACGCATGACTGTAAGTCGCTTTGGATAAAAGCGTCTGCTAAATGGCATATTATTATTATTATTAAACTCTGATTTAGATGTTTTTATGTTGGGCTATTCCATTTATTACATGCACTGAAGGGAAATCAACTTGCAGTTGAATTGTAAGAAAAGACAAAATGCCAAATCCTCAGCCTCAGTTGATGTTAAAGGAGTCTTAGCTTTGAATCATTAATATGCTTTCTGAACCTTATATATTGTCTCATTCAGTTGCTCTATATGTAATGCATCACCAGATGGTAAGAAAGCCATAATCTGTATACCAGTACTTTATTCTTACCACTTTCTTTATAAGTGATTAGGTTTCTCCATTAAATCATTTGAAAAGGGCTTTGGTTTGCATTAAATCATGTTGTCTATAGTAATATTTCATTTGGATAATAACTTATCTGGAGGCGATATATTTCATTATCATGAATGTTTAATATTTTTAATACATAAATAATGTGCCACTGTTTAATGTGCTGATTTGGAGAGAGAGAGAGAGAGAGAGAGAGAGAGAGAGAGAGAGAGAGAGAGAGAGAGAGAGAGAGAGAGAGAGAGAGAGAGAGAGAGAGAGAGAGAGAGAGAGAGAGAGAGATTTCTTTCATTTCTTTGGTCAAGACCTTGCATGATGGTGTGTGTGGACATTCTCCTTAACACATTTTGGAGTAAAAGTTTCTACATCATTATGAAATAAAATAATCTGTTGTTTTCTTAAATTCAGCAAGATCCTGGCCCAAAGCCTCTGATGCATATCTAAACATTTCACTTGTTTTGATTTTGATTTTTTTGCTGCTGTATATTCTTGCCAAGACCACATTATAATAACAACCAACAGGTTACGTGGCTCCAGTGAGTTACTACATATTTAACTTGGCTTAATGGCTCACAGGAGCTTAGTATGTTAGCATATGTGTACACAATTTACAGTGACTTTACACAACTTTTTAAGGCATTGTATCCTTACATGATAATAATAACAACAACAGCATTTGTAGGCCTAAACATATTGTACATGTTTTGTTCATTAATGATGTGATATATATATTATCCAGACATATATTCAAGTCTTGAAAAGATGCTGATAGCCATCTATTTGCAGCATGTCAAGTTAGCCTATACTATGAGTTCCTCAAGGGTGCCCATTGTGCTTTTCAGATCTATCTCTGTCTCTGATTTGATCCTACATCCAACAACACATCATGTGTATTTCCAGATGTGCTCTTAGTCTTAACCACATTCAGCTTACCTTGCTTGCTTCACTTTTCACAAAGCTCCTCAAGCAATGATTACACAACCCTTTACATAGTCTGTGAAAAGAAATGTGCTCAGATTGTGCTACTCCTGTTGGGTCCCACTAGACACCTGTGTTCCATCTGTACTTGTGGCTGGAGCTGTGGTGCCAGTGTGACTAGGTTCACATTCAACCAGAGATTCTCCCCCCTCGCCCAACTGTCTCATCCGCAGGTGAATCGACCCATATGTCTTCGTGGGTTGGACAAAAGTCCTCTGGCCGTACAGCTCACCTTTGCATATGGACACGATTAGCAAGATGGACAAGAGCATCCCGCCTAGAGTCAACAGTCCCAGGCCTGCTATGATACACTTGTCGAGGTGTGAGCCCAGTTGTGCATAGTACATCTCCAGTTTCTCCATCTGACGAGCTGACACCAGGTCCGGGTTGACCTTAGCCTCTCGGGGGATGGTGTAGGCAATGATCACCAGTACTATTCCACTCACCAAGAACAACAGGGCAAATATGAACCCATAGTCGACAGAATGGTCATTGAAGTCAGTCACATGGCCCTCCTCAGACCGGAGTGACAGCTCATCTCGCTGGAAAGGCTGGGGTTGTGTCTGGTAGCCCCTATCATTAGAAATGGACCGATGAAGACTCGAGCTGGCTGGGCCACTGAACCTCATCTCGTGCTCTTCCTCCTGATATGACCTGTTCTCGATTCCAGCTCTGGCCGCTGTCCGAGGTCCTTGTCGCGGAGTTGTAGCGGCCTCGTAGGCAGCGCGCTTTTCCCCATCCCCCAATTCATGGAGCTCTACGGCATTCAAAGACTCCATCGAAATTCAGTGGATCTGCTCATGTCGTTAAATGATGCCGCCCTTCATTATTTTGCTGAACACCTGCAGGAATTTATGAAATTATGAAATAGACACTGACATGTAGGCTATAACGCATGCTGTGCCTGCCTCTCAAATTGGAATAGTCCACCATATTTAGTGAAATCTAAACGTAATTAAAATCTAAATAGAATATTCTAGGTTAACAAAGGCTATAATATATTTATTTAAATTAGATAGAATGATATATGTAGCCGTCACAAAACAATAATTAATTCAAATGAAAGCGTTGAAGTGTGTCGACCTTGGTCATGGAGAGCGCATTCGTTAATCAGGAAAATCACTGTCTAGAAGTGCACTAATAACATTGAACGCTGGCAATGTTAACAATCCAAGCCCGCATTTACTGATCCATATAAGCTATTTTGACGATATGTATCTTGAACACTTCACTGTTGATTCACGGATTGTAGGCTATTTATTTGGGAATAAATGCGTCCCTCCCCTCTAAACTCGAAGGAACACCACCATGTAGTGCGACTGCTGGTAACACAGATGCTCCGATTATCATTAAACGGGGTGGAGAGTCAAGGCTTTAAAAAACGCTGATATATTATTAACAAGAACAGCCCTTTTCATTATCATCATCATAGCTCAATCTGCTAATTTTAGGCTACCGGATATACAGATTGATGAGGGTCTAGCTGTGTCACAATAGGCTATTGGCTAAATATTTACCTCAAACAGTGGGCTACTGACACATTTTTTATATGATTTAGGCCTACATATCATGAAATCTCTTCCATTTTTGCGCTTGATAGAGGTTTAATAGTTTTTTTTTAAACAGTGCACAATCAGCACTGGCATGACCTTGATGCCTATCACAAAAACGTAGCCTATTTATTAGATGAAATGTTACGTTTTGAGCAGTCGATATCAAGATATAGGCCTATGCGTCAATTAATCAAAGAGGACAAATATTCAACAAGAATCACATTAGCCTACAATACTATAACAAACATCCTATGCATAAAAAAAACAGACTGCCTACTACTCTATTGATATATCAATGTTAAACATAATAAAGGAACACCTACCCCAGGTGTTGATGCACCAGTGATAAGATGCCTGTTGTTGCGAGTGAGACCGAAAGACCTCGAGAGCGACTTGCCATGCGCAAACAAACAGTGCCGTGAAATTGGTGGTTGAAATCGAGCTCATCGCTTCAGTTGGTAGTAGAGCCTTCAGTCATAACATATTAAAAACATAACCTGCACGCAGGGCCATAACTACATATGAGGACGATATCCGGACCTCGGTAATTTTTTCCAATTTGTAAAAAATAAATAAATAAACTATATATAGCCTATATATTATACACAATAAAGAAAATCAATTACGGATCAACATCTAAATATCGTTCCCAGGCGTTGATCAAAGCTCAGAACGCTTATAGGCCTATTCTTGATCTAACTGAGTTTCTAATCGCGCCTGCCTCTTTGTGAACGAGTGGAATCATTACCAGTGGTTTGTTCGTTATGTTCGTCTGCCAGCACATTCACCACTCTCTCAAACGGCTAACTCCGAGGGCCTGAGACGTGAAACGAACTAGCCTACCCCAGCTCAGAGTCGAATTTAGTTATTGCACACTCGCACTTCACAGAGCAGGCGTTCCCTAATGGAAATATGCAAATATATGCTAGAACGCCCCAATAGGATCTCTCTATCTCCTGCTTGGTTCTGCCCACCTACTTGCTTGTTCTTCCCATTATGACTCATTTGTTCCCATTTGAAACGACAGGTTGTGGTCTTTCTTGCTTTAGTTATACAATTATTTGCTTGTATCATGATGTGTGAAAAATGTAACGTGGCAAAGTTGTGACTTCACATTTGAATACATTCAATACAATTTGCAAGCGTGCAATTCAATTTGAGGTGCAATTCATTTAATAAACTTGCAACTGGTGAATCTTCTGTGAATAGAAAATATATTTTCCCATGTCGAATCTGCGTGCTCAGAGTCAAGTACAGTGGGGGAAAAAAAAGTATTTAGTCAGCCACCAATTGTGCAAGTTCTCCCACTTAAAAAGATGAGAGAGGCCTGTAATTTTCATAATAGGTACACGTCAACTATGACAGACAAAATGAGAAAAAATTATCCAGAAAATCACATTGTAGGATTTTTTATGAATTTATTTGCAAATTATGGTGGAAAATAAGTATTTGGTCACCTACAAACAAGCAAGATTTCTGGCTCTCACAGACCTGTAACTTCTTCTTTAAGAGGTTCCTCTGTCCTCCACTCGTTACCTGTATTAATGGCACCTGTTTGAACTTGTTATCAGTATAAAAGACACCTGTCCACAACCTCAAACAGTCACACTCCAAACTCCACTATGGCCAAGACCAAAGAGCTGTCAAAGGACACCAAAAACAAAATTGTAGACCTGCACCAGGCTGGGAAGACTGAATCTGCAATAGGTAAGCAGCTTGGTTTGAAGAAATCAACTGTGGGAGCAATTATTAGGAAATGGAAGACATACAAGACCACTGATAATCTCCCTCGATCTGGGGCTCCATGCAAGATCTCACCCCGTGGGGCAAAAATGATCACAAGAACGGTGAGCAAAAATCCCAGAACCACACGGGGGGACCTAGTGAATGACCTGCAGAGAGCTGGGACCAAAGTAACAAAGCCTATCATCAGTAGCACACTACGCCGCCAGGGACTCAAATCCTGCAGTGCCAGACGTGTCCCCCTGCTTAAGCCAGTACATGTCCAGGCCCGTCTGAAGTTTGCTAGAGTGCATTTGGATGATCCAGAAGAGGATTGGGAGAATGTCATATGGTCAAATGAAACCAAAATATAACTTTTTGGTAAAAACTCAACTCGTCGTGTTTGGAGGACAAAGAATGCTGAGTTGGATCCAAAGAACACCATACCTACTGTGAAGCATGGGGGTGGAAACATCATGCTTTGGGGCTGTTTTTCTGCAAAGGGACCAGGACGACTGATCCGTGTAAAGGAAAGAATGAATGGGGCCATGTATTGTGAGATTTTGAGTGAAAACCTCCTTCCATCAGCAAGGGCATTGAAGATGAAACGTGGCTGGGTCTTTCAGCATGACAATGATCCCAAACACACCGCCCTGGGCAACGAAGGAGTGGCTTCGTAAGAAGCATTTCAAGGTCCTGGAGTGGCCTAGCCAGTCTCCAGATCTCAACCCCATAGAAAATCTTTGGAGGGAGTTGAAAGTCCGTGTTGCCCAGCGACAGCCCCAAAAAATCCTGCTCTAGAGGAGATCTGCATGGAGGAATGGGCCAAAATACCAGCAACAGTGTGTGAAAACCTTGTGAAGACTTATAGAAAACATTTGACCTGTGTCATTACCAACAAAGGGTATATAACAAAGTATTGAGAAACTTTTGTTATTGACCAAATACTTATTTTCCACCATAATTTGCAAATAAATTCATTAAAAATCCTACAATGTGATTTTCTGGATTTTTTTTCTCATTTTGTCTGTCATAGTTGACGTGTACCTATGATGAAAATTACAGGCCTCTCTCATCTTTTTAAGTGGGAGAACTTGCACAATTGGTGGCTGACTAAATACTTTTTTTTCCCCCACTGTATGTGTAAAGAGGCAATAAATTATATTTTTCAAAAGTGATATGTCTGTCATAACATTCCTGCAACAATTGTTAGAAATGGGTGTAATTGGCCAATCTCTTCCTCTTCTCTGCAACTGCGCACGTGTGTGAGTTTGAGTGAGCGACAGGGAGAATGTGCTAGAGATATCACGGCTCAGGCTAAGACCCAGATGCAGACACAGGAGGCGGATAGTACCAGTCTCAGAGTTTATTATAGTACAAGGGGCAGGTAAGTCAAGGCAGGCAAAGAGTCGTAATCCAAATCAGAGTCAGGCAGATACAGGACGGCAGGCAGGATCAGGGTCAGGACAGGCAGAAAGATCAGAACTGGGAAGACTAGGAAAAACAAAACCTAGCGCACGGCAACACGCTGGTGGGACAAGACGAACTGGCAACAGACAAACAGAAAACTCTGGTGTAAATACACTGGTGATAATGGGGACAAATGGGAAACACCTGGTGGGGCGTGGAGACAAGCACAAGACAGGTGAAACAGATCAGGGCGTGACGAGAGAAATGGGAGAAACTTTAAATTACTCACAAAGGGAGGTGTCTGTTGAATCAGGACACAAGGGTTTTGCAGCTGTTAAAATAGGATTTTATTTACTTTACAAATGTATATTATTAGAAGCAGTGATATTTCAATTGGATATACTTACACTACACTCTTAGAAAAAAGGGTTATTCGGCTGTCCCCATAGGAGAACCCATTTTGGTTCCAGGTAGAACAATTTTTAGTTCCAGGTAGAACCCTTTTTGGTTCAGGTAGAACCTGGTTCCCTGGAACCCAAAAGAGTTCTACCTGGAACCGAAAGGGTTCTACATGGAACTAAAAATAGGTTCTAGATTGCGGCCTTTTTTCTAAGAGTGTAAGATCAGGCAATCATGGGCAGCTGGATAGCATGTCTCTTGGAGAATCCAGTCTCAGTGAGACCTGATGCAGCGAAAACACGTTAATGATCATCAGCATAGGTAGTACAGACCTAGCTCTTACAAAGCTGGCTAGTAGGAATCAATACAAATTGAAGATCACAGTATCAAACAGGAAAAACAACATTTTGCACACAAAACTTACTGTCAATGACTATGCATTTAAGAAGTGGTGGTGCTGCTCTCTCCTTTCTGTGCGATGTGGCAGAATAGGTCACTGGTAACTGAGTGGTTGGCCAAGCACTGCTGTAGAGGCCATGCATCAGGTCATTGACATGTTTCAGGAACAGTAAAGACAGAGACGAATCATGATTATTAACCATTACCTAAGGTCTTCACTAATACCCTTTTCAGACATATGGAATGTGGCGCCTCGAAAGTGCCTCAGGCTACAGCATGTTTGTTTGTCTGTAAGG